CAAGTCATTTCCAACTTATGGCTACCCTAAGGCAACTCTGTCACAGGCTTTTCTTGGCAAGATTGTCTTGCCCTTCCTCTGAGGCTGAGAGAGTGTGACTCCCCTAAAGTCACCCAGTGGGTTTTCATAACCAAGCAAGGATTTGAACCCTGGTCTCTAGACTCATGAGCCATCTTGGTGTAGTGGTTCAAGCATTGGATTATGACTCTGGAGACCAGGGTTTGAAACCTGGCTCAGCCATGTGAAGCCACTGGGTGACCTTGGGTAAGTCACACACTCTCAGCCTCAGAGGATGGCAATGTTAACCCCCCCCTGAAAAATTTGCCAAGAAAACTAGGGTCACCATAAGTTGGAAACAACTCAAATGTACACCACACCACAAAAACTTTAGAATCATGGAGACAACACCCAAACCATTACACTATGCTTACTCTCAGGACTAAAATATCACCCTCTACAGTCACAGTGTGGTGTAGTAGTCTGAGTGTTGGACTACAACTCTGGAGATCAGGGTTCAAATCCCTGCTTGGCCATGAAACTCACTGGGTGAGAGAGAGCAAGTTACACTTCTTCAACCTCAGAGGATGGCAATGGCAAACCTCCTCTGAAGAAACTTGCCAAGAAAACTCTGTGCACAGAAATGACTTGAAGGCATGCAACAAACTTTAAGTGGAAGGCAGAAATGGAGCTGGGTGTTATTAACAACCTGGTGACCACAAAACATGCTATAAACTTTCTCAGCAAGTTCACGGATATGATAAATTGTATGGGTACAAAACAACCCTGAGCATCTCCATAGGCCACAAGGTTGAGAGTTCAATACCAGGCAGGATCTCAGGGTCGACTCAGCCTGGCATCCTTCTGAGTTCGCTAAAATGAGTAACCAACTTGTTGGGGGCAATTAGCTTACATATTGTAAACCACTTAGGGAATGCTTAAGTGCACCGATAAGCAGTATAGAAATGTCACTTGCTATTGCTATTGCTATTGAACAAACCAGAAACAGGTGGGAAGTGGGATGAAGCAGTGCTCTGGGGTGAAAAACCAGAGCAAAATAAATGTCCATTTGCTCCTCAATAATGTGGAAAGTGCACATTATCGCACCAGCATATAAACAGCATGACACAAGTCTTTTAAATATGCTTAACAAATTACTGGTGTACGTAGAAAGAAAATTTTGGCGAATCTTACTTTATATGATCACAGCAGCAAGGATACTAGTAGCACAGAAATGGAAGCAGAAAGAACTCCCAGCCATCACTGAATGGTTAATGAAATTGGCAGAAATGAAGGAAATGGACATTTTAACAGCTCGACTCAATCAGAAAGATTTAGGGACTATAGGTAAAGAGTGCTCCCAATAAATGAGTATTGCAATAACAGATGGAATTAGGTTACAGGTAACAAAAGGTGCAAATGGAAATTAGAGGGTCTATAATAAAATAGGGAAGGGAAATGAGAAATCCTGCGAATACTGAATAGATATATGAGATATATCTTGAAAGATTCTGAATAACAGTAAGACTAGAGCAAATTGTGAGAATAAGGTATATTATGCAAGAGACTGTTAGGAGGTGCTGTATGATGTATATAATAATAGGATGAAGATACTTAAAATGCAAATTCAAGTTTATTATTGTAAATTTATTTGGTATAAAAATAAAGTTTTTTAAAAAATAAACAGCATGACACAAGTGTGGGAAGGCAGGAATGCCCAGGTAGTTTATGGAAGCAGTCTGGAATATGCGCACTGGGACCAGTGAGTTGCAGCCACTGGCACCATTGATTGTCATCTGATGTTTCATTTTTGTCAAGCATACAGACACACGAATGTCCAGCTGCATCATTGACCCAATGTACCATCGACCTATCACACACCCCGTGAAGCAGAATTACAACAAACATGGTAAGTCGCCATTAATGCAATGGGTGTAACAAAAACATACACAAACTGGCTAGTTCAGCATGGCCAATGGGGTGAAGGGGGGACAGGGGGCATGTATGGAGGGCCTTCATGATTGTGCTTTGCCACTGTGTCACTGGGTGCACCCGATGAACTGTACAGGTGGTGTATTGCTTGTGCAATTGTGTCGCCAATCACAGGGGGCATCCAATGGGATGGCAGCACGACAGTCACAGACAGTGTGTTTGTGCAATGGTGTGCATGCATGGGGGAGGCACAAAAAGAATTGAGTGGCGCAGCTTAACGCTGCATGATGGGTAGTCAACCCATTGTGGGAGTCGGCCATGCAGACATCGGAGGTCCTCCCAATTCAGGAAATCCCAGGAATGACCCAGTTTTTCTTCTCCATCTTCTCAGCCCCATAGCAGAGGTCTATGTATCTCTCTAATCTACATTTTCCAGGATTCCATAGAACGGAGCCAAGACAGTTAAAGTGGGATACAATTGCTACAACTGTATTGTGTGGATATAACCTCAGTTTCCAAGATTTCAAGAAATCGTATTTGTGGCTCTGTTTTAAAAATGAATTTTTCCCCCTTTCCATCTAATCTATGCTCAAAATAGTTTACAAATCAAAATGTGATATAGCGTGAAATTAAACAGCAAGGCTTAAAATAAGATTTTAAAATCGCCCCTTGTACCACTGTAAAATATATGGCCATAGGTGTTCATCAATCTGCCAAAATGCCTCCACAAAGCAAATGTTTTTGTCTGTGGTCTTAAGCCATAAAAAACCATTCTCTTGACAGATGCCTTTAGGGAGGGAATTCCTGAGCTCTGGGATTGTTCAGGGCTGCTGAACAACATGAAATATTACAACTTAGGGTATACCTAAGTTTGGGAAAGGTACACAAGAGCCCCAGCATAGTAGTTTGAGTGCTGGACTATGACTCTGGAGACCAGGGTTCGAATCTCTGCTCAACCATGGAAACCCACTAGGCAAGCCACACTCTCTCAGCCTCATAGAAAGACAAAGGCACCCCCCCGAACAGATTCTGCAAGAAAACTCTGTGATAGGGTTGCCTTAGGGTTGCCATAAGTCAGAACCCACTTGGAGGCACACAACAACAGCAACAACAACAACAACAATGTATGCATGGAAATTCCTATGGCAAGGTAAAAAGCTAAGGATTAGATGGTCCAGTCTAGTAGAAGTGAAAACTAAAGGAGGATGCAGCCTACCAGATCTGAAATTATATTATTACGCAAGTTGCCTGAGCTGGATAGAGGACTGGATAAAGCTAGAAGAAGAAAAAACATTATATATAGAGGGTAGTAACATCAGATTTGGATGGCATGCCTACATGTGGTATGATAAGCTAACAGCAAATAAAGACTTTGAACACCACTATATAAGGAAATCACTTTTAAAAATATGGATTAAAATAAGAAATAAATTCTACAGAAAATTACAACTTTGGTCATCTCCCCAAGAAGCCCTCTTTAACAGGAGCAAAAATGATGAAAGGGATTGGATTAAATACCAGGATATTGTAACAAAGAAAGAAAATGAAGAGTACAAGATGAAATCAAAGGAACAGCTGGAAGGAGAAGGAATTAAAATTAACTGGTTTTTACATCTACAATTAAAGGAAAGATTCAATCTGGACAAGAAAATAAAGGGCTTTGAAGAGGAAAAGACAGAATTAGACAAGATAATCATGGATAAAGAAGGCCATCATATAACAAAATACTATAAACTACTTTTGGAAAGGAATCTAGAACAGGAAACTGGAGTGCTCTAAGGATATAGGGGAAAAATTGAGCTTGATAAATGGGAAAAATCATGGCTGCAAACAAATAAGTTCACAAAATGATGCATCTGAAACCATGCTAACGTTACTGTTGTAGTAGTCTGCCTTCAAGTCATTTTTTTGACTTATGGCAACCCTAAGGAGAACCTATCATGGGGTTTTCTTAACAAGTTTCTTCAGAGAGGAGTTGCCATTGCCATCCTCTGAGGCTGAGAGAGTGTGACTTGTCCAAGTTCTCCCAGTGGGTTTCCATGGCCGAGCTGGTATTTGAACCCTGGTCTCCAGAGGTGTAGTCCAAGGCTCAGACCACTACACCACACTGGCTCTTTTGCTAACATTAGCTCCCTTCTTAAACAAACATTTTCAATATAAAACAGGTACCCTCTGGGCCTGGCAGGTGTTTAAGGAAATTACACAATACTTTTAATGGAAGAAAGGGATGCAAAGTCTTCTTGTAAGAACATATTAGCACGTAACTTAAATTCTTTCTTTGCTAATAAATTAGCTTTCTGGAAAAAATAAGTTTCTGAAAAGCCAAATTTATGAACACATGTGATATTTAGATACCAACATTTTCCCTCTGCAGAGCAAAGAGCCAGTTATTCCCAAAAACATTTTTGCTGGGTGATTTTTTGGCATTCCTTTCAGTCTTAACCAGACATTAAAGATAAGCAGACAGATCTTCTTGAGCCAGGGTTGTGATCCTGTTTCCAGCTGAAAGGGGTATATTTCATAGTTCCCGAGACAGTTTTTAAAATTCTATTATGGATGCCATCCACACCTGCAGAAACTTGGAAGCCTCATATTTCAGATCTGTACAACACCTGCAGCTGAAGTTTCTGCTTGATTTAAATGCAAAACTGGGGATACCTGCCTGCCTCCTGTGGTGTGCCAAAACTTAAAAATTGCACTTTTGAGCTCTTCAGCCTTGAGTTTTGTAGCCCTGATATGTGGCTGTCATGAGCCAGAAGCAGCAAATAGTATGTTGTTGTTGTTGTGTGCCTTCAAGTTGTTTGTGACTTATGACTACCCTAAGGTGACCTTATCATGGGGTCTTCTTGGCAAGTTTTGTCCAGAGGAGGTTTGCCATTGCCATCCTCTGAGGCTGAGAGTGTGTGACTTCCCCAGGGTCACCCAGTGGGTTAACATGGTCGAGGTGGGATTCAAACCCTGATCTCCAGAGTCATAGTCCAAGCCTCAAACCACAACACCATGCTGGCTCCAGGTTGCTATTTGCTATATATTATTCTATATAGCAAATAGTATATAGAATAATGCTGAAAGCCAGCATGGCAGAGTGGTTTAAGCAATGGACTGCAAATCTGGAGACCAGGGTTCAATTCCCAGCTCAGCCGGAAAACCCACTGAGTGATCTTGGGGAAGTCACACTCTCTCAGCCTCAGGGAAAGGCAACAGCAAATCTCCTCTGAACAAATCTTGCCAAGAAAACCCATGAAAGGTTTGCCCTTAGAGTTGTCATAAGTCAGAAATGACTTGAAGGCATACAACAACAATAGAAACAACAACATATAGAATCATATATAGCAAATAGCAATGAATAGAGACTAGGACATGAATAGAGACATGGAGCAATGGATTCAAAGTACAGGATAAGAGATTTCACCTAAAAATTAGAAAGAATTTCCTGCCACCTTGGACTGTAGTGGATTCCTCTTCTTTGGAGGTTTTCAAACAGAGGCTGGATGGCCATCTGTCACAGGGAGTGGTTCGATTGTGTATTCCTGCATGGCAGAAGGGTTGGACTGGATGGCCCTTGGGGTCTCTTCCATCTTTATGGTTCTATGATTCTACACACCATTAATGACATGAAGTCACTTGTTCTGTTTTATTTTGCCCAACACGCCAATGGTGCTTCTTAGTTCCACCTCTGAAAACTACAACTTTAATTTTCCCATAATTGATTGACAATTTGTCAGCTGAACAATATGCAATGTGATTAGCCAGGAATCTTCTGAGGCTGCATCTACACTACAGAAATTATCCAGTTTGAATGCCACTTTAACTGCTATGGCTCAATGCTATGGGATTTTGGGAACTGTAGTCTGTTGTGAAACAGAGCTCTTTGATGGAGAAGGCTAAACATCTCACAAAACTACAAATTCTAGGATTCCATAACATTGAGCCATGGCAGCTAAAGCAATGTCAAACTGGATTATTTCTACAGTATGGATTAGCCCTTTGCGAACTCCTGGAGAACAGAAGAAGTCCCAGTAGATGGGAGGAGGACATATGTTGTTCTCATCTTCAAAGGGGGTGGGGTGGGTGAAGACCCAAACAACTACCACCCCAAACCATGAAAGATTTTAGAGCAAATCAAGACGTTCCTTCTAATATTCAATTGAATTAAGATGTTCCTTCTAACATTCAATTGAAATCTATTGTTGTTGTTGTTGTTGCTGTTAACTGCCCTCAAGTCAGTCTTGACCAGGGGTCAGCAACCTATGGCCCACGGGCCGAGGTCACCCCCCCCCGAAGCCTTCGGACCGGCCCCCGCAGACCCCTGCCGCCGCCCCTGCCCCCCGCCGCCCTTCGCTGACCCCCGCTGCTGCCGCACCTGCTGCCATCGTGCCGCCACCGCGAGCATCGCGGATGCCATTTTGTTTTCCAAAATGGCAGCCGCGACTCGTTTGCGCATGTGCAGTACTCCTGCGCATGCGTGAGCGAGTCGCGGCCACCATTTTGGAAAACAAAATGGCGGCTGTAACTCATTTGCACATGCGTCGAGTACTGCGCATGTGCAAATGACTCGTGGCTGCCATTTTGTTTTCCAAAATGGCGGCTGCGACTCGCTCGTGCATGTGCAGTACTCCGGAACTACTGCACTTGTGCGAGCAAGCACGCGTGTGTGCAGTACTTTCCGTATATTGTGCATGCCCTCGTGCGTGAGCACATGCGCCGTCATTTCCCACCACCACCACCATCGGCCTGTGGAAGACCAGGGGATCCCCAGACCGGCCCCAGGCAAGAGGAACTTGCTGACCCCTAGTCTTGACTCATGGTGACCCTGTGGATGAGACATCTCCAAGCCTCTCTGTCCTCAACTGCTCCGCTCAGGTCTTATAGGAGCCCTGGTGGCACAGTGGTTAAATGTCAGTACTGCAGCCATTCACAGCCGCAAGGTTGTGAGTTCGATCCTAGTCAGGGCTTCAGGGTTGACTCAATCTTGCATCCTTCCCTAGGTCACTAAAATGAGTCCCCAGCTTGTTGGGGGCAATTGGCTTACACATTGTAAACCACTTAGGGTGTGCTTAAGTGCACTGATAAGCAGTATAGAAATGTACTTACTATTGCTATTGCTGTAAATTCGTATCTGTGGTCTCCCATGATTGAGTCTGTCCATCTGGCATGTGGTCTACACCTCCTTCTTCTACCCTCTCCCTTTCCTAGCATTATTGTCTTTTCTAATGAGTCCTGCCTTCTCATGATGTGGCCAAAGTACAACAGCCTCAATTTAGTCATCTTGACTTCCAGGGAGAGTTCAGGCTTGATCTGTTCAAGGACCTATTTATTTGTCTTTTTGGCCCTCCATGAGATCCTCAGCACTCTTCTCCAGCACCACATCTCAAATGAGTTGATTTTCTTCCTATCCAGTTTCTTCACTGTCCAGCCTCACATCCATACACTGATAAGGAATACAATGATTTGGATGATTCAAATAGTAAAGTTCAGTTGTATATCTGCATACTTTAGGATCTTATCTAATTCTTTCACAGTTGTCCTTCCCATTCCTAAGCTTCTTCGTTCTTGACTGCAGTCTCCATTCTGATCAATATTTGATCTAAAGTGGAGGAAACATTTAACCATTTCAATTTTCTTGTTATCTAGGTTGAAGTTATGTAGATCCTCAATGGTCATTATTTTTGTTTCTTTATGTTCAGCAGTACACCTGCCTTTGCATTTTCTTCCTTGACCTTCCTTAGCGATTGTTCCAAGTCCATGAAGTTTTCCGCTATTAGTATGGTATCATCTTCATATCTTAGATTACTGATGTTCCTTCCTCCTATTTTCACTCCTCCTTTTTCTGAATCTAATCCTGCTCTTCTTATAGTTTTGCATATAAGTTGAACAAATAGGATGATAGTGCATAGCCTTGCCTCACCCCTTTGACAATTGAAATTTACCCTCCTGTAATTTAAAACCATTAAATCTGGTCCTACCATCTGGGGCAGCAGAGAACAGTCCTGCCCCCTCTTCCTTCTGATAGCCCTTGAAACATGAACTAGTTCAGGGGTAGGCAACCTAAGGCCCAGGGGCCGGATGTGGCCCCCCGAGGCCTTTGGACTGGTCCTGCCACCACTGCCGCCTGCCGCCCCCCACCGCCACCGCCGCCCGCCATGATGATATTGATTATTGTTGTTATTACTTGTTCTTGGGTTTTTCTTGGCAAAATCTCCACAGGGGTTTTGCCATGGCTTTTCTGGGGCTGAGAGAGTGTGCATGAATATTTTTTAATTTTTTTAAAAAAAATATTTATTTATTTATTTATTTATTTATTTTTGGTGCTTCACCCCCCCAATTGTCTGAGGGACAGCAACCCGGCCCCCAGCTCAAAAAGGTTGCCTACCCCTGAACTAGTTAAAGGGTTTGATGGGGTTATTTGCCTCCCCAGATGCATCCTGATGAGCAGTCTCTAGTGATAGTGCAATAATGTCTGTGCATCATCACACCATCTTCTTGCTGCACTGAAAAGCAAGGGGTTTCTCCTTGATTTGCAAATAGTTGGATTAAAGTGCACCCGTGAGCAACTGCCTGGCACACATAAAGCCAGGCAATTGCCCTGACTGGCCGCAGACACGTGGGCAAGGGGAAACAGGGTATCCATTATGCAGCCCGTAAAAAAGCCCCATAAAATGACGTGTGGTTTTCCTTTTTGCCCTGCGGGCATGACTTCTTGGAGAGGCACCTCTGCCATCCCAAACCACTGTGGCCTCTCTGGGACATGAGGCAACCTTGGAAAGGAGCCCTAGATGTGAGTCAGGCCAAAGGGTTTCCCAGCTCCATTCTTAGAGGTGTGAAGTTTCCCTTCCATTTTCCAAGACTTCCGCCTCAACACATTTAAAATAAAAATCAAACCACTCTGCCAGGGCAAGAAGTATTGTTTACCGTTTTGAGCCTATAAAGGGCCCATGGGGATTCCAAGCATCATTTCCCATTTAATGGGAGCCAAAAGTTTAAAATAAACATGCATTAAATACTAGAAGCCAATTTCTTCCTCCACTACACACATCCAAACTTTCATAGGCTTATTAGCAAGGATAGAATAAGAGCATAATGTAAGTGCAAATCTATCAGTGGTAGAAGGTATAATACCAACAGGGCATCTGATAAAATGGATTTTAATGCATGAAAGTTCTTGCTAAAGGAAATTGGTTTGCTTAAAAGTGCTGCTGGATCTCTCACATTGGCACCCTTTTTAAAAAATGCTGCAACAGACTAGCATTGCTGTCTTTTTGAAAACTTAAATTTTCAGCGTCCCAAAGGAAGGGGTACAAACTGTTGCTGGTATCATAGGTTGCGTACTTGTTCTGTCTGTGTAAACAAGGCTGTGTCCGCACTGACAGGGGGAAAAAACAGCTTACCATTGGGGCATTTAGATCTGTGGATAGGACAAACTGTCCACACAGCTGGCACCTACAATGGGCTGACACCAGTAGCACTGTCTATACACTCTCCAGGAGACCCCCTTCCTCTCTTCTCATGTTTTGTGGGGGCAATAGCCATCTTATTGAGCCTTGTTGCACTATACTGATGGTATTGTGTGCACTTGCACAATAAAAAAAGCCCTGGCATGCTCTTACAGGAATGGAGTGCCACAACATCCGATTGTCTCGATGTGTAACCTATATTCAGGATGAGAGATTTCCTTCAGAACTGAATGCAGAGAAACAGAATCGTTCCCAATTCAAATTCAAGTTCAAATTTATTGTGTTACAAGCAAACAGTTAGTTTGCACAAATATAAAAACAAAGGAAACAGTTTAAAAGCAATATTACCAGGTTATGTAGAGACATTACCCAGCCATGTCCTAGATAATGCAATTCATAGTTGCATGGACTTGGCAAAGAATTTAGCAGTTCTAAAAGATACACATTTATTTGCAATCAATAATAATAATAATAAAAAAAAACAGAGACCTTGGCATAAAATGAGAGACCCTTAGATGTTTTTAACAGGGGAGCGATGTATGTTAATTCTGAGGTCATCATACAAGGGGCATTCTAACAAAACATGGATTAAATCGTCAGCTGTCCGTCTTAAATTAAACAGCCAGGGTTATTGTTTCTTTTAGCGAATTTTATTTTAAGTAAGTTTTAAATTATGATATTGTTTAATA